ATTTTCAAAACAGGAAGCATTAATAATTCATGAAAGTTAACCTTTGAACATTAGTGTTTTTAAAGAAGGTTTTTAAGTGACAACTGAATTGATCAATTGCCCCTTCTCATTGAATTAGGACAGGATGGGTTTTTAAAATAACTTTAAGTGATGGTGCTATTTCATTAATTTTTTTTTTCATGCCCTGAATCTTGGTGTTCATGAATGAAACTAAATGAGGTAGTAATAAATACTTTAATTCTCCTTTTGTAGAACAAGTAGAGAACTGCAAGTTGGTGAAGATAGGGAGCACATTCACTGTGCCCATTGTGCACATGCCATGTATTTGCATGTTATATCAAATAAACAGAAATGCTGGATTTGATTACTTGATATGAATATATATTGCTTCCCCATATTATTGAGATTATCACAATTGATGGGACTTAGCATAGATATTGGTGGATGTCCTGTGATTCTTTTACAGCCTTCCAGTTTGCAGCCACAATATGCCATGTTTAAATCTAGTGAAGTTTTACATACAAGTAGTTCTTTCTACTTTATCTCCAGCTGCCATTTGATTCCTGTTTCAACCAGGACTTGCATTTTTAATTTTTATTTTTTTTTTAATTCCATGAGAGGCTACTTTTAAAATTAGGAATTTAAGCATTTGTTTCCATTTCGTTTTGTTGTAAACATGTAAATACCTCTCAAAGTATAGTCTCAGGAGCATGGGAGGTGATGAGAACAGCAGCAGGGCTAGAGGGCCAGTTTGGGATATTAATTTCAAGCGCAGCAGCACTGGTTTAAGAACAGGTCAAACAGCTGCTGCAGTTTTTCCTCCTGAAGAGCCTTGTTTGAGCCCTGGGTCAGTGCATTTGACACAGATGGTTGTGCTGTGGGGTGAGATGAGCAGCCCTGCTTGCCTGGACTGGGATGAAGGAAGCACTATTGCAGCAGGGCAGCTGGCTCCTTTATCTCTCTGAATAAAAAGTTACATGGGACTGAGACTTAACATTGGCCTTCTGAACTTTCACAAAAGGCTTTAATTATACTGGGTCAGGACAAGGCACTGTCCATTGGGCATGAGGGACTTTCCTGTTGATTAGGGGATGCAGGGATGATAAACCATCATGAAGGTATTTTCTCAGAATAAAGTGACTGTGATGCTTTTCCAGATAAAGGAGCTCAGCATGGTGGGTGCAAGTGCTTAGGCTCTCCTTGGGCCAGCAGAGCAATAGCCCAGACCCCTCAGACTGGACGTTTGCATCTCCTAGGCTTAACGCAAACACAGTCCCCCTGTCCGTGATCCAGGAGCCACTTATGTGAAGGATAAGGCAGCTTGGGTAGAAAACAATATTCCTAGGCCAAAAGATTTAATCTGACTGGGCCAAATTGCCCAGACTTTCCCTGGGTACTGATATCATACATCACTGAGGGTAAGGAAGGAATTCAAGGATGAGCAGAAAGGTTTACTGCAGGAGGCTATATTTGAGAGCTGCAGCTACTGTTGGTTTTCTGGTCTGTTTTAACTGCTCTCATGGTTTTTTCTCTGCTCTCAGTAATTATACTAATAGTATTGATTTAATCCTTTCAGTCTTCAAAGAGCTGTTTGAATAATAATTAGATAATCCTCCTGACCCCTGGAGATACAGATAACCATTATTAAAAGTAAAAAGCCCTTATACAGAAAAGGAAGATTTTGTAGGAGCACTGCAGGTAAAGAGAAGTTCATGCCTGAAATTTACATGAAAAATTTGCATGAAAAATGCATGTCTCTAGTCCACGTTCTGTTTTGAAGAACACCTTTCCATAAGGAAGAAAGAGTGGAGTGAAGAAGAGGATGGCAAAGCAGCAGGCTAGGTAGAGGCCAATCCTCAGTGGATCCAGCCAACAGCTCCCTTGGGGGCTGTGCCACTGTACAGCTCAGAGGATTTTCAGGATTTTCTTTATCTTGCCTTCATGGCTGGTTTCTTCTTCCTGATTTTAGTGCCTCCTAGTTTCGTTTCACCTGAAAGTATGTCATATGTTTGCTGCTGAGTCTTGTATGCTTTTGTGGGTTCTGGCATACAGATGCCTTGATCATAATGAAGATTTGGGATCCAGTTGTGGCTTTGCTGTTTCACAGACAGGTTTTCTCCCTGTAATGCAACAGCAGTCTCTGGCTTCCCAGAGTATTTTATTCTATCAGCAATGTTCTGTTCCCCCAGTTCTTTGCCCCTTGGGTGATTTCATTCAATTTTGAAAAGTTAACGTGTCAGTGGTGGCGTAAAGAAATATTGGATGCTTATGCTCTCATGTAAAGCTCCAGTCGCTGGTGAGTGATGCTGTTTGTCTCAGTAGCTTCTTGTTTTATAACTGCTTTATGTTGTAACACAATTATCTCAGCATCAGGCCAGTTCTTTATTCTGACACTTCTTAAACGTCTCCAGTGATGTGGTGTCAGCTCGCACCAGAGGAGACGTGATCAAGGAGATCTGAGCAGCTGAGTGTGACTCTCTTTTCTGCCTGAAGGAATTAGAAGCCACATACATGTGTGATTACTTACAGGGCACTGAAAGGAACCTTGTATGAATTCAATAAACATTTTAGAACAGGAGCTCAAGTCTGTTTTTTCCAGGGTACACCTTTCTGTGCCATGGAAAGGTGGCATTCATTCCTGTTCTATAGCTGGAGGAACTCAGCTCCGTAGTAATTCATTTGTTGTATCTCAGGTACAGAGAAATATGAGTATTGATCTAGGCCATTAAAACATATCATACTTCTATTATTTTATAAGCATTAACTGCCCACAAGGACAACATCATAAATTCTAAAATGTATTCCAGTTCATAAAACTCACCAGTCTCTTGTTCTGCCCAGGGTGACTATTAACAGTCACAGTAATTCCTGTGGACAGCTGAGGAGCAGGGTAGGACTAGTAATGCATGCATAATACAAAGTATATCTTCTCAATAGACCCTCACAGCAAATTCAGGGAGAAACCAAATTCCATCAATTTTCTTGCCTTCCTTTCCTCACTTTCCACCATTAAGCTCTGTCTTGTACATGGTATGTCATAGCTATTGACATTTCACGCATTGATTATTATAGCAAAGTAATGCATACAACCAGTGAGTATATCTGCAGCATGACAGTGTAATTACCTGCTGGCTTTCCAGAAATCATTGGCAATATGACTAATGTTAAAAGCTTTTTTTCCTTTTTTTTTTTTTTCTTTTTAAAAAAAAAAAAAAAAGCTTCCTTTCTTCTTTTTTGTTTTAATATAAACTATTATAAACCCTCTGTGGAATATGAGACTCTGGTAATGACTCAGTGGGCAGAGGGACAGCAATCTCAGACACTGTAACATGATGCAGAAAAGGTTATAAACTTGCTTTCATAAGAGGATTATTCATATATTCATTCATTAAAAATTAAACACTTGGGAGCACATGGTGCATTGAAGTTGGCAAGTATTGGTGAATCCTTTCTTGTAGTTTATTTACTCCTGATCAGTTGGTGTGAGTTGAAATTACTCCAAATTGAGTCTTGTCTTATTTAGTGCCATTTATACTTGAAGTTAGTTAGTTGTTCCTACTGAAGACAAGTGCCATAAGTAGCTATATAGTGTTTCAGAATCATAACTTTGTCTTTATGGAGTGGTGGTTGGATGGTTGTTTTGTTTTCATTTTTAAGTCTTTACAATGAGCTTATATTTAACAGAAGAGCATTATGTTCTATATAATCTATCTAATTGTAGCTAAAAGTTGCCAGTTTTTTCATTGTACTGTTAGCAGGTTTTTGTTGTTGCTTTGTGTGTTTGGCTGGGTTTTTGTGGTTTTTTAGAGTCATGCAGAAGAATCCATGTGCTCCCAAGTCTGGTGACGTGGCTGCCTCTCCCAGCCTGACAACATTGCTGTGGGTGTTTGTCACTGATGAGCCACACTAGAATGCAGCCAGGACAGGACTGGTTCGGCAGAGCTGGATGTGGTGCTGTGGAACTAAACTAAAACAGCTGTAATGGGGTGCACAGGGGGGCCTGGCTAGTCTAGCCTATGGCTCCCTGGGCCAGTATCAGCTGACTGCGAAATCCAGAAATAGGCTGAGCATGGAGTGGCAGACTGTGACTCAGGGGTGATATTTTCGAGGTTAATAGCCTCCAGCAGATTTCTTCTTATGTGAATTTGCCTAATCATATTAGTGCTTATGCTGACTTCTGGCTTCCACAGCAACATGAGACAGAGAGTTTCATTGTGATGAAAATTTGTATGAAGAATCATTTCCTATTGTTGATTCTAACACTGAGAACATAACTTGATGCCTTTTTTTTTAATTTGAAAAAAAAATAGAAGGGTGTTTTCCTTTTCATTTTTCAGCATGCCACTCAATTTATGTATCTCCAGCATATTTCCACTCAGATAGTTCTTTTCTAGGCTAAAAAAAAAAAAAAAAAAAAAAAAAAAAAAAAAAAAAAAGTCTCCAGTCTGTTCAGTTGTTTCATGTAAGGAATCTCTTTGTGCTTTGGACCCCTCTTACTCCCCTTTTCTGTAGCTTTTCTAGTAGTAAAATGTTAAGACCAGAACCAGAACAACATGGGATGCTCACAAAGTGGAAGAATTTACACAGTGATGTAGCTAGTCTTTCCATTTCTATAACTTTTCTAATACTTGTCAACTTAGGACTTGTCTTTTTCCTCCCCATAATAATAAGTGTCTCCTATTACCACATTGTTTACAACATTATTGACCTGATTTTGTTGTTTTTGGTGTAGGAATATGTAAGTGACATGATAAACTTTGAATTAATGGCACCAGTTACTGTAAAGTTTTCCAGATGTAACCAAGTCATATTTGGGGCCATGACCTTGACAGGCATTGGACAGAATTTAAAGCTTTTTTACAGTTCAGTGTTACACCATTTCTGGTTTTGACAAGCTGGGTAAGGTTTTATAATCCAAGTGAAGTTAGAGCTGCATTATACTTGCACATCAGCAGCCAGACAAGAATTCTATGTGTACTTTTCTTTAATTGCAGGTATTTATGAGCCGCCATTTCTTGTATTATTGTGGTGAACCTACTCTGGATGTGAAGATTGCCTTTTGTCAGGTGTGTGTTCCTTACAGGTAAAACAAGGTACAGTATATACTTGTACTTCATTTTTGCAATACATGCTATAATTAGAGAAAAATAGAAGTGAGTTTCAGCAGCTTACTGCAAGTAACTGGTTATAAAAATGAGAATAAATACAAAAAACAGAGAAATGCATCACAAAAAATTACTTTTCTATGTGTCCTCAAGTTTATTTTGTAATTTGGTCTTAATGATTTTTTATTTTGTTTTGATAAACTCTTAGTTAATATTCTGAGGTTTTTTAGGGAAAAATAATGGCACAGTATACAAACAAAAACTGCAAATTAAAACTATAAAATAGTTTTATATATATAAAAGTATAAAATCTTAGTCTCTGTTCTTCTGAGACAGAGCCTTTTACATTGTAGCCTGTGACTAATTTTCTGTTACATATACTGGAAGTGAAGGAAATGTAATTAAAATGGTGGTCTTTACCTTGTCTCCCATTGAACACTGTGTGCTTTTGAGGTCTTGGAGCCATGAGGCTGCACTAAAGCCAGTTCTGTTTTCTACATCACCCTTGAAATGGTTTGGTCACAATGTATGGGAGCCCACAAAGCTGAAACTAAATCTTTGATGCAAAGAAAAAGCTTTTTCATTTATCCAGTTTTTTGTTTTCTTGGTTAATTTAGTTAGCATATTTATTCTCAAATCTGTGTGCATAATTTTCCCTTGTGAAAGAAAGATGACTTTTTTGCTCACTTCTGAACAGTGTTTGTGCTTGAATTCTGTCTCTTTGTAGTTTTAAGGGTTTTTTGTGAGATGGAACATCAGTAATCTAACTGGAGAGATATTAGGGACATTCTTCACTTTTTGAGGCTGAAAACAATGCTGCAGTCTTAGAAATTAATTTATGATAAACACTATTTTTGTTCTTCTATATTACAAGTGGAGTCCAAGTGAAAACACAATTGTAAAAAAGGAAATGGCTATTACTTGTGTGTAAGCATTTAACATGAGACAGTGACAGGTGTTAGAAAGTTTGCTTTATGTTTTTTAACTCAGGGACATTAAATATTAATTCTGCTGAGAAGGTTGAATCTGCACTTAGGAATCATCAGCCCTGGGATGGGTCTTGGCTATTCAGTTTGATAATCAGCTTAACTGTCTTTTCTATTTTATTGCCTGTTCTTCATGCGTGTGTGTTTAACTGGCTTAATTCTTCCACTGGCAACTTTTTCAAATGTAGTATTTTTGTAGTGTTTTGACAGAGTTTGCTTCCAAAAAAAAATTGCAGAAATTGCAAATTTTTTTTCTCAGATTGTATGAGAAAAGTGTTATTGATAAAAAAGTACTTTCACTGTGCAGAATAGAGGTTTTTTGCATAGCTCTCCTCTCCTTTTTACTTAGACCATTTTGGATGCATTTTTATCACTGAGTGAGATTAATTCCTATTTGATGGCTGCAGCAGGTACCCAGAATGGCATCATCCACTAAATACATACAAAGAGATACTATCCTGGCATTGTAGGGAGCAGAATTCCATCCTTCAAGCACTTGCCACACAGACACCTTTTCAAGGTCTTCAGACCTTCAGATCGATACTCTTGAGGATAAAAACTGGTTTAAGCTTCATGTTAATTTATTCTCCCCATAAAGACAGGCCCTGATCCAAATAACAGCTGTAACTATGTGCAAGAACAGTCTCTAAATTAAGTGTCTGGTTGCATTAAGACCTGTCTTGGATGCTGTTCATTTGTATTGTTTAGAGTGGGATGGGGCATATATCTCTGTCCTTGGTCCAAGAATCCAGATCTTTATTTAGAGACTAGGAATAGTGTCCAGGTGGTAATATTGTTTATTCCATTCTTATTCCTGCTTCCATTTGAAATTTATGCCTCACTGTAGACTTTCTCCAAAGTGTTTGTGCTGAAGTGCCTTTCTTAAAGCTCCAAAATTTAAGAGAACCCTGATTATTTTTAGTACTGGGGGATGTATTTTTTTTTCTTGATATATATTTGTGGCCTAAAAGGCATAGCTTTATGTGCTCTGAAGAAAAGTGACATATACATAATTACAGGCTCTTATCTTTGACATAGAGCTTATGTCAGTGAGCATACTAGTTTTGTACAATGAAATGCTAATTCAGCAGGAATAGAATTTTAAAGATTTCCAGCTTAAGGAAAAAAAAAAAAAAAGAATGGCTCTTCCTGGGAAACACTTAGTAGCATGAGTAGGATAAATATGTACCTCCCTACCCCTTCACCCTGTTTGCAGTGTGAAAACACCCAGGTCTGGAATTACTGGACATGGGTAGCCAATTTGTGTTCTGAAACAGACACCTTTTTTAAGGCTGAGGAAGAGGACATCTGCTTTTCTATCATATTATGAAAGTAGGACAAGAAGGCCTGTAGAATTTCATTAGACTTCTGTAAGGCTGGTATCACAAACAAGCTTTTATCCGTAGGACCCTATACATTTTTATTGTAGCACAAGGTAATGCAGAGTAGTGGACATTACATTTTAATACTAATATACTAACAATATCTCTAATAATTCCAAAAGAATACTGACTTCTTCATCCACATTTTTGTCCATTTAATCTTTCAGTATTTTTTTAATCAGTATGAAGATGTGTAGCCTGTCAGAATTTGCCTGCTCCCTAAGCTGTAGGTATACAGAGTACTTTTATTTAGAATACAATTCTAAATGTAGTGTGTCCTGTGATTATGCCTTCTATTCAAGGGGAGATTGGCTGGTATTCAAAAGTTATCAATAATTGATATATTAGATTTTTATGAATGAAATGATACTTCATAGGGTCAAGAGCTGTCTATTTCTAGCTAAAGGTGTGATTACTTAGCTCCATACAGTCTTTATTTGTAAAAGGGAGAATCCTTTCATTAGCTATTGTCTTCACATCATATACTGTAATTATATCGTTCTATTGAGAAATATACTTTCTCTCCTGCATCTTTGGCTACATTTTGCATTTGGATCACTGATGTAGTTTCCCTCCATGCAGAAACCTCAGTCTCAAGGAACCTTTCCTTTCAGTGTTTCTTGATCAGTCCTTTCAACCTCCTTAGGTGTGATGACCAAGGCTGGATGTCACCTGTGTGTCAGCATTGAGCTCTTCAGGCATCAGGGGGATGAGGAATCATTTGAAGTAGTGTTTTCTTGTGCAGATACAGATTGCTCATCTGTAGGAATCTGGCCTTGCAATGAAAGTCACACCTCTGGGACACAGTGACTTCTGAGCAATACATGACACCATAGTTACAAATGAGCTATGAAAATTTGGTGCCTGTAAGAAGGAAGGAATTAAAAGTACCAAGAGCTCAGTGAACATGTGGAGGACAAGAGAAGAATAAGTAAATAGTGCTTTGCTTCGTTTTGAGTAGATACAACGGAAAAGAAGACTTGCTGCTTTTTGTGTAATCAGAACTAGGTAAACTGATAGGTTTTCAGTATCTCAGTAAGAAGAGGTTAAACAGAGTGTTTAAACAAATAAATAAAAAACAACAACTATTTAAAAAGCACCCAACATAACAGAAAAAAAAACCCACCCAACCAGCACTTAGAAATATTGTACTACGTTTAATAAAATGCTTTAATATGGTGTGTTGAAATAGAGTGAATAAAGCAAATGTAAAAAGATCAATCACTGATCAATCAAGGCTGAGTTGTTTGCAGGGGTCTGTTGTCTACTTGAAAGGCTAAGTGCAGAAAACCCTCTGTCTGGGGGGCAAGGCAGCTGGAGAGAGATTAAAAGAAGGCCAGAAATTACCTTTTAAATCCCACTCAAATTAGCTTTTAAATCCCACTCAAAACACACTAAAATCAGGAAGACTGGGTGACTAATACAAGCCTTACAGGAGGAGAATGAGGTGGAAGAATGGAGAACTGTTGTATGATGTGGCTGGTAAAAGCAAAATTGGTAATTACATCTAGCCACACACACACAAGATGAAACTCTGTGTAGGAGATTGGATCACTCTTTATGAACTTCTGAGGTCAGGGAGAGCCAGAAGATTGTGAAGAGAAAAAAACAGATAAAATTTCTGCCATAAATGTGTCATATATAGAATACACAATTTAAAACAATACAGTAGATCTTTCTATCCAAAGACACTCTGTATTTCCCAAGTGATAGCTTCTGTGGCCATTCAAATTTACACAGCAAAACCTGTGACCATGAAATTCGAAGCAGAGGGCTCAGCAAATTCATGTTCATGCCAGAATTCTGGCACTTGAAACTTCTGTGAGAATTAGAGCTGTGCAAGTGGGAGGACAGCCATTAAATTCACAGTGCTGCTGGCTGAGCAGATGCACCCAGGTGAGCAGGGTTTGCCTCTGTGCACGTTTGCAGAGCTGGCCAGAAGCCTGAGGGTTTTACAAAATTCATGAATGTTGGTGTGTACAACCTCAGCATTTGACTTTCAAGGTTAAATTATAGCTTTAAGATATCCTTTTGTATCCTGAGGGATCCAAAGGCATCCACCTCTAGAATGTGCTGTGGTCCAGGCTCTGTCTGATGCTGGGTGCAGATGTGGGGCTGCTGGGACCCATCATGGTGTCTGGCTCAGAGCATCCTCTCTGCTTCATCCTGCCAATCTCTGCAAACTGGGAGTCAGCCTCTCAGTCTTCCACATGATTCTTTCACTCACCTGCATTTACACACACGTGGAGGGCTTTAAATTATTTCAGTAGCCTTGCATCATGGCACCCTTGAACAGGTGTTCCTGCCAGGATTTCTGTGGGCAGACAGGGAAAGATAAGACACTGAGGTAAAGTTTCCCCTCTGCTGATGCTGCCAGCAGAATCTGTGACAGTGCTCACTGTCTTGGAGATGCAAGGTAGAGCAATTTGCCTTAAATTGTTGCTAGTGTGGTTTGTATTTATAAAAGCTGAAATGTATGAGATGCTGAGCTGCAAGACATTGCTGTATTTTAGGCTCCTCAATAATAGAAGGAATGGTGTTCAGAAACAAAGGTCTGTCAGTAAAATATGATAAGTAGAGTTATTTTGTAGGATAGAAATAAAAAAATAAAATGGGATATCAGGAAGCAATTCACCTTACAATATAGAAAATAACATAATTTTATTTCTGTTGGGCTTTTTAACTCTCTTGCTCTCTGTACTCTGAAAGAAAGGAAAAGAATATAGTTTGTAGCTCTGTGTGAGGCAGTAAATTATTTTACTTCACTGAATTTTTAAATACTTATCCTTTGAAAGCAAAATACAGGCTCTCTAAGCAATTAGCAATGGTGACAGCATCTTTTTCCTTCATCTCAGATGCTTGAGTCTTGACAGTTTATTTTCTTTTCTCTTTCTCACTTGTCAGGTTACTAAGCAAACATCATTGCAAATATAGCTACGTGCTCAAGTGAGCTAACAAGGATAGTTAGTTTTTCAGGGCTGAGAAACTTTCACTTCTCTTACTCTTAAATTTCTCAGTATGGAGGAAAGAGAATGGCATTGGGGAATGTGTGTGTGTGCATTAGAAGTTTTCAATTAGGTACTGAAAGGAGAAAGTAATGGTTCATGCATTTTTGTACATATGAAATGAAAGCTAAGTTCCTCTCAGTGTTGAAGTAATGTAATTTCATTGTCCAAATGTTTATGGAAACTGAGAACAAATGGCATTTCCATGCATACTTTGTCTCTGAGAAATAATCTTTCATCTTACAGAGAGGTCTGAGAAACTTAAATGTGTTTTGTTCGAAGTTTCACAGCTTCAATGTTTACTGTTGTTCTGGGGCCTCAGCATTGTAGCTTGCCCAAGTTCATTTGAAGTTCACCTGAAAATGTATTAACTCATTGAAATTCACTTTACTATATGAGACCTATACATTTTTACTGTGATATCCTGATTGCAATGTGTATCTATAAACTTCCTTCCCCCATCTATTTCTTAATGAAATACTAATTCCTGGTTTCTTATGAAGTTAGCCTCAATCACATTTGAAAGGAGTTTATGGTTAGGTGCATCTGCAGTAGGGTGTGTACTGGAAATTCCTAGCCCTGGGTTCCTTTCTGATGCCACATAATCAAAGCTTTAACTTAATCTGCCTGTACAAGACTTGTAAGCATTGTGCAGTGAAACCTGAATCTGATATAGCTTAGTGGTGTACAGAGGGGCGTCTGGGGGAATATCAATACCTGTAACAACACCAAGGCTACTGGAAGGGGTTTAAATGAGCACTGAGAATGTAACAGGAGAAGAGCAAAATGTAGTGTGTCGGCTTCTTTAAGATGAGATATGTGAATGTGAAGACTGGGAGAAGAACTTTTTAATCAGGGTTTGAAACTAACATTGACATGCTCTGTAAAGAGTATGAATTTCCTTGCTAAAGGAAAAAGATTTTTTATCCTAATTTTGGAGTGAAACAAAACTGCCATTTCCGTGTCCTTGATAGGAAGTGGCTCTTGAATCAACCAGAGATGGTTCTTGATTATGTGTCAGCTCGGCTTGGGGATCTGATCAAATGTGATTAATCCAATAATGCTGTTAATTCATTGACTTAGGGATTTGGTTTAAGTCAGCATCATGACAAGGATAGTTATATCATTCATCTCCTGTTGTTATGAAAGTAAGCAGTGCATTGGGCGTTAGTAACCTTACTATGCTTTTGTTTTCCTTGTTTAGGCTTTGGTAAAAATTGGAAAATAGGGGGCTTTTTTGTAGTTTTTTTAGCAGTTTTTTTAGTTTTTTAGGGTTTAGAGCGAGGAGGCAACTTAGACCTTGGCCTGTCCACAAAGCTGAAATTTTTGTCACTCAGAGGAGGCATTCTGCTTGAAGTAAACTTCAAAGTAAATCAGCCTGCCTTGAATTTTACAAGTAATGCTTGGTGTTTGCTTTCTATCAAAGACCTTATGGGACACAAATTTTTAAGTAGGGAAAAAGATACTAATCTAAAAAGAAAAAATTATTCCATGAAAAATAAAACAGTCTTTAGCTTTCCCTCTCACACTCTTAGGAGCAGAGTGTCCTAGGAGTGGTCTGTGCTGTGCAGAGGAGAGCTGCTCATCAGGACATCTGCATTTTCTTATCAGTTGTGGTCTTCTGGGTCCACAACTTTAATTGCTGTTGACTGAAGCAATTGGATATGTTAATTACCCATATAACTGAGGTACTACAGAGTGGTTCTTCTCAGCTGTTTTAATTGATTTTTAAGACATTTCTGGATTTAAAAGAACCAGCAGCAGTTCAGAAACCCCGCTGTACGTAGCTTGAGTTTCCTGAGGCTAGTAGTTCACACAGTCAGGCTAACTTAAAAGCAAGTAATTTTTATTCTAGACATAGAGTGATAAAATATGTGCTCCCATGTAGCTCCATGCCACAGAAGGAGCTGTCAGGTAGCTTGGGAGTGAGGACACAAACAAGTTGTGGCAGGCCTGGCTCATCCAAGCCTTAACACAGTCATCCAATTTGTTAAAAATATTCACTCTGTCTGTACTTCCAGAGGAGCTGGATATGAGTCAGGCTCACTCAGGAATGCAATTTTTGTGCTGACACTTTATACATAAACATTGGTTTCAGAGTAATGGGTGTTAATGCTGAATATGTCCTGCATTGTTCTGATAATGACATCAGGAAAAACATGCTCCAAACGTGCTTGTCTAGCCAGAGGGAGCTGTGAAATTCCTGTCAATCGGGAGCATGTTATTTAAAAACCTCAAAAAACCTCCCAGTTTCAGGTCTGGTATGAATACCTGAGCTGAATAGCCAATTTATGCATCTCTCTTCACAGAATGGAAGACGTTTTAAGACTAAGGCTACACAGTGTGAATCAGTTTCAGCCTGTTTGTCTTCCAATGGGAAAAATTCAAACCTCTTCTGCAATCATCTCACTCTCTGGAAGCTTCAATTTAGCACTGTGTCAGTGTCTATAAATGTCTCCCTTTCTTTGCTAGGACAAGGCGTCTCCTGCTCTCCCCCTCACAATGTTTGATGAACAAGTTAATGTAAAGTTACCACTTGGTTTTCTGAGATGAGACTTTGTGTTTGAATGAAGAGCTGTATTTATTAAAAAGTTTTGAAGTCTCTGAATGAGGTGTTAGGATGATGCTGTCCAGTGACAAAGGGCCTTCCAGCAGATAATGGACAGAAAAATAATAATAATTTTTCCAAAGCAACCCTTAAAATCCAAGTTCTTTGCAAGGTCAGCAATCTGTGTTTAAAGGCCAGATTTTTGGAACACTGTAATGATGTCCTTTTTAATTGAATGAGTAATGTAATCAAAGGTAACTTTACTTTTTCCTCAGCTCCATCAAATTTCAACTTAGCAGTCCATAAACACATAATTCTTTTGATTATTCAAATTTTCTGGGGGAAAGAAATTTATAATAGAGCAAATAAGAAAATTTATAAGCTGTGTTTGGGAGCACTGAAAAAAAAATAAAAGCATAGACAGAGGCATAGGTATTTTTTGGTTTTGCTTTATGGAAGGCATTTGGGCATGTCTTGACTTCCATAACTGAACTGTCAACTGTTTTAGGGCAGATCTGTTGTAATATGTTGAGCTTTTGCTTCCTGTGCTCAGAATCATGTACTATAGAATCCTTAATTACAAGCACTTAATTCTGATTTTTATCTCAAATTACTATAAATTTGCTCCGTAGGGAGCTGAGCTCAGCAGTAGCCATAAAGAGGTTATAATGTAACTTGCTGCATGGTAATTTTACAAATTTGAGGGAGGGATTTCTAAGTCTTGTAAAAATTATTGGTTTTTAATTTTACAGTTTTGGGGAGGAGCACTGCTGTGCAGTCCTAGCTACAGCGCTTGGTTTTGTGTCGTGAAAATTGGTGTTTGCTGCATTTGTTAGGTCGTGAGAGCAACTCTCCCTCCTATCCTTAGGAACCCAGAACTCTCGAAGACCTCTGCAGCTTCTGAGTAAATCTCCATGATACTGAGCCATGTTGGGTCACAGCTTGTCTCATTAACTGCTCTGTTTCTTTTGCAACCCCTGTCAAAAGGTTCTTAAGGCCTTTATTACCTGCTCAGGGAAAGATTTAGCACTCATGGGAATACATTTGCTTGTCTGATCCATAATGAAGAGCCTGATTCCTGTGTCTCTCGTCCCACTTCCACACTGATGAAAGTCATCTTATTTTAAATTAATTGCAAAACAAAAGAGGGCAGAATCAGCAGGAGCACATAACCAGTAATCATGAGGCAGGAGTGATGGCAGGCAGAGACCAGTAGCTGGAAGTATCTATATCACAAACATCAGCTGGAGAATTCACTGGTTTTCCTTAATCAGTGCCTTTTTATGGTGACTTCCTGAATGAAAGAAGATTTGATACATTCTTTATGAAAAATGAGCCAAAAATGAAAAGAATTTATATTGAAAAATTAGGCTGATAGTGCTTTATCAGTATTCTAATGCTTTATCAGCCTTGGTTTCTCTGTTTTTACCAACCCCTCTCCCCTTCCCTTCTTCTGTACGACAGGGATTTGGGAAACAAGTGGATGTGTCGTATATTGCCAAACATTACAACATGAGCAAAAGCAAAGTTGACAACCAGTTCTACAGCGTGGAAGTAGGTGACTCGACCTTCACAGTCCTCAAACGCTACCAGAACTTGAAACCTATTGGCTCTGGGGCTCAGGGAATAGTTTGGTGAGTATCAGCACTTTCTCTTATGATGCCTTGAAAGAGAATTGGCATTTTGCATCTCCTCACAGTTTGCCAGCCACAGCCCTTGTCTAAAATTGCATAAATAGCAGTCAGGCAACAGACATCCCGAGGCAGAAGGAGCCCAGTGGTTTGCTAATAAATTCCCCAGCTGGTGAGAGTGATAGCACTGGGTTTATTTCTCCACACAGCAAAATGGAACTAGCAAGAAAGCAGGAGAGAGATCTTATCATAATTGACAACTGAGGCACTATTTCCAGAGGCAGTGCAAATAATATCCCAAGTAAAACCCGTAATTTTAGTATTTGTACAGTAAAAGTCTGAGAGCAATACAGGAACTTGTCACATCCCATAGCATTCTCAAATATTCAGGGTGGAAGCCTTTCGAATTGAGGCAACTGCTAATGTTTCCTTTTCTCAAAAGTGATGTTTCAGTGATGTGAATAATGTGAACAAAAGATTAATTCAGTAGCTCTCCTAAACAATGCAATTTGAATTTATCGTGTTCAAAAGTTGTCGAGTCCTGGGTGGCTTTTGCCTCTGCATTTTTAGACATGGCTTTTAAATTTCTGTGGCTTGTATTTAAATGTCTCTGTGGAAGCATTTGTTACCTGTTTAATTATAAGGCATTTGGGTAGCTATAACAATCTTTTATCTATAACTTGTTCAGAGGTAAAGTCTCAATTCTGTCTGTCACCTCTGTCACTGTTTTTTATTCAGAATTTGATGTAATGTGTGTTACTTTACAGGTAGAGGCAGTGATAAAGCAAGAGATTCCTGTAATCCAGTGGCAAATGTTTTTTGGATGGACTGTTGGCATTGGCACCATGATTGCCAGTGTGACAGCACTGACAGCACATCCTTATGTCTCAGTCCATCACTTACAGTGTTTAGTATACTTTGAGACCATGCAAGTCCAAAGATTGACCTAAATGACCAATTACCATAATCCTTATCTTAAACACAAAAGAACTCAAGGTTGCTTTTAAATCAGCTTTGGGAAAGAGGCATATTTTGGGTTCAGTCCTACTGAAAATAATTTTGCACTATTTGTTCAATTCCATGGAAAGCAAAGATGGTTTTTCTTCCTCCTTTCTATCCTCTATTTGTTTCAGAGGAAAATCAGTTTTTGTTGAACCTCTCTGCAACTGAATTGCTGTAATGAACAATTGTGAGCAGCAAAAAATGGAGAAATTAAGCTAAATAAAATCAAAAGCATCCTGTGAATGTTACTTTTATACTAAGAGTTGACAGCAAAATTTAAGAATTTCTTAGGAAGGAAAATCAAATCAGAAAACAAGCAAGTTCAAGTGAAAGTTAACACAAATCCCCTGAAATAGTGAGTAGCAGGGAGAAGCCATAAAAGGCCTTTTTGATGATTGAGATATAGAAGTATTTCATGACAGATGGGAAGATAATGAGCATTTTTTTCTTACTTTGTGTTGCATGGTAAACTGCCTGTTGTAAGGCAGAATTTACCAGAAAAACAATCAACCATCCATCAGCAAAGCATGAAGAATCAATGGTGAAGTGATTAATTAATGAAAAGACAACTGGGAGCTAAATATTTGTAGTTTAGCTAAGAGAAAACAATACTTGATGAGAAACATCTTCAGTTGTGTAAGTTTCCCCTTAACTTATATTGACAATAAGCTTACACAGTAAACTTGTTTAGAATAAGTTTCTATTGTAGAAGCTTACTCTGTTTAGAAGTATTTTGATGGAAATAGAGTTACATCTAGAAAAAGCTAACTAAGGTAAAAAAATACTGAAAACCTGCCTATTTATGCAGCACAGCATGCTTTGCTGCATAAAGGAGGTAATTTGCCCTGCTTGTCTTGCTCCTTTGCAAAGAATAGCCACGAGGAGTGCCTCTATGAAAATAGTGGAGAAAACCTAGGTCATGGGTTTCTTTCAGATCCAGTGGCTCTGTTTATTCTCGATGGCTTGTTCAAGTGCCACAGATGTGGGATGCAATTCTGTCCCTTGCTGCCAGAATTAGAAGTGTAGAGGCCTAATGGGTGATTTCTGATTGTTCCCTCTGCCAAGGGCGGCACAGGTAGGAGTTTAGGCTCAGTCTTCTCAGAGCATGGACAGTTTCTGGATTTTCCTTCAGGATACCTGTAGGTAAGGACACTGCCTCTTATTGAGTGGAATAACTGGCTGCCCAGCTACTGGAGACAGCTTTGGTGCACAGTGATACTTGGTTTTGTGGAGTGATGGAGCATGGCTGCTGAATGCCAACTCCTTTTAGGAGGGGAGGCCTGATGTTTTTCAGGCTCTGGAAGGTGTTGCAGGGTTCCTAGGGCAAAGCCACAGAATACTGAAACCTTTCCTATACAGTTCTATGAACAGGTTTCAAGATAAGTAGGAAAATGTCAGTGGAAAACAATTTATGTCATGGAACAGAAGCAGGCACAGGAAGCAGGAAATATGGTTATGAAAAAAGTAGGAACTTGATTTCAATGGATTGTGCTAAAAATTACATGAAAAAAAATTATTTTCTTGATATGGAAGCATTAAAGATATTAAATCTTCAGGAGATAATAATTTAGTGAATATGTGAAAAAGACAAAACCATATGGTGGGATTGTTATAATTATGCTAATGTGAAGTAATTATAAACCCAGTAAGGAAATGGTATTTATACAGACATAGTATATACAGGATCTTTGGAAACTAATCTTTGGGCTCTTTCAATGGGTTTTGTGCTAACTATGTTTACAAAATGATTTTAGCAGCCAAAAGAAGGAAAGAAAACAAGCTGCTTGGAATCTCTTGAGCAGGGAAGCTGCTCTTCACCCTGCAAACACTACTCTTTATGAAAGTGTAAGCTGTTTTCCTACTGTACATCACACTGACATCTGTGAGAAAGCCTATAAAGGGTGTGTTTGCATGTCATTATCATGTCATTATTACAGGCATGATGACGATGGGGCATCACTGAAACACACCTTTGAGTTTATTAGACCAAACTGTAGTTGTAAGAACTGCACAGGCCTGTAGCCACACTAGTTAGGCTCTGAGTCTGTCATAGAAACAGAAAACAGTTTTCTGAGGTTAATTAGATATGTGCCATTACACTGCTGAGAGAAGAAGTAGCTGATACCCCTCTGCAATGTTAGAAGAGAGTTGACACCTACCTCATTTTGCAAGGGGCTGAGAAAGAGTGACAGGTCATTTTCAGCTTGGGTTTGTGCATGGTGGGTGATGGTGGATGGAGAGGAATTCTCACGTTCCATAAAATCAACAGAAATATGTGTTTCTTTATGTTTTACATGAATGCTTTTTGCCTGGAAGCAAGGTAATTGATCTGTGGGTTTTCTGCTGTGGTTTGCAAGCCATCATTTTTATGTTGCCTGTGATATTTTTGATACTGTCTGTGATGTCTAGAAAAATGGTGTTGTACAGAAATATTTCAAAAGCAGTTTGAAGGGCTTCTGACAGTTTTTGAATTTACGATTGAAGCAAGGGTGAAGTCCAGGTTTCTGAGGCAGATAGGGAAGGCATCACTTACAGGCTTGAGGACACAAGTAATTAAAATCTTAGCAGTATCTTACAGAAGACATTTGGCCTGTTTTATTACCACATGATGGCTATGCCTATGTGTATTATAAGGAGAAAGCTTTGAAAACAAAGTTGTCTGGGTGAACATCAAATAAATGAGGCTGATGATGCCTTTCAGCTGAAATCTTTTATCTTGGTCTTTTCTTAAAAGTGAGCACAAGCTTTTGTGCTGCATGATGTTGAGTTGTGGTCTAATGATGTGTCAGCTGGACTGGAGGGGTTGGCTGGGAAGGGCTTTATTCTGTCTTGATGCAGGAAGTTTCTGTGTGAGTAATGTTTGAGTGGAGGATATGGGAGCAGGAATTATGCTTTTATGAGAGCTTTTCAGTGGATGCATTATAAATTTAGAAAGACACCTCATCTGCAGATATAGAGGAGACTGTAAATATATTCCTGAATTAGTAAATTGGGAAATGTGCTGCAGATATCTTTCTTTGAATTAGTGATTTGATAATACTTTTGAGCCTGAACCTAAAGGAGATAAAAATCTTTTAGTGTTCCCTGTAATAGGTAGAGCCAGGAAGACAATAAATAGCTTGCTGTGTTGCCTAATATTGCCATAGGTTCTCCTTTGCTGATTTAATTGTAATTTAGTGGTTGAATCTTATGGAGTACAGAGTTCTTTCAGATCAGCCTGTGGTGATAGTGGTGCTTGTTGTAGCTTATAAATCCACTGATTCTTTCCCTAAATTATCCACAGCACCACAGAATCATTTAGGTTGAAAAAGACCCTGAAGATCACCGAGTCCAACCATTTCCCCCCAGCACTGTCCATCACTGAACCATGTCCCCAGGTGCCACATCTGCACATCTTTTTCAATGCAGCAATGGTGACTCAACCACTCCCCAGTGTTCAAAGGCTGGAGGAGAAATGTGATAGGTGTTGTCCACTACAAGGTGCAGAAACACTTGAGCTCTTTTGTACAATGATTATCCTTCAGTTCTGGTTTTGCATAGCACCATTGACTCCTGGGCTGGGTGTAAGGATCTCAAGGGATGTTGCAATGGGAATAATGGTAAAAGCCATGGAAAAGATCAGTTTATGTTTCTGACCATAATCAATTCCAAACTCATACTTCTGCTGTAGTGCAGTGGGAAAAACACAAAGAATTGTGGTCATATCAATGTCTTACAGCTAATACACTATTTTATTTGTATTGTTTAGCTGGACAGTGGTGTGCTCATGTTTTGCGACTTGACTATTTTTCTCCATCATGGTCCTACTATCCCAGCAATGCTGTTTTAAATTTCTTTGTGTCACTGAAATGAAATACTGTATTCCCTGATAGAGATCAACGTTTGTGCATATATAAACTGGTATAGTTCTGTTGTCATCATATTATCGCAAAAGTTCCATACTGTTGTTTCCTTATCACAAAGGTTTCATACCTTCTTGGTGTTTTCTCATAGGCAGCTCC